AACCAAGCATGGCAGCTCTGCCTCTCCCACTCTCTCTGTAGCGCTTCCTTTCAAATAAATCTTAAAAAAAAAAAAAAAAAAAAAGACTGGATGTCTTACACAAACTTACAAAGACACACAGAAAAATAAAAATGCTGGAGATAATCCACCAAATTCCTAAGATTATAGGTAGTCCTAATTCTCTACTTTTTACTCATCTCTTTTTAAAAAACTTCCTTAATGAACATATATTCCTATTATGAGACAAGCACTCCTGCCAGAACCATAGACGTTTTTCATTTGAAAGGGAGAGATCAGACAGAGGGTTCCCCATTTCCCTCTGTGGGAAGGCCTGGCTGCTCCTCCCCCACACGCCCCCTCAGCCCTGGCATCTGGGCTCCCCTCCTTTCCTACTGGATCAATAAATCTGTGCTTCGATGGGTGGACACGCAGGCAGGACAAAGCCCCACCAAAGTGACTCCGACTGTGGCCGTAGTCAAACTCTAGATGTGTGCTACAATAGAATTGTTAAAGCAAAAACTTTCCTAGCCTTCTATCTTAAAGAAATGCTTTAAATTGCAGAAAAGAAATGTGTTTGCAAGATGTTTATTGCATTATTTATGATGACTCAGACCACAGAAACACCTTAAATATTCATCTGTAAATAAATTAGGGCACATTTGCATATTTGCACAACGGCATATTTTCCACGCATTAAAAATTACATTCAGTCTTAGGGCAGAGAAAAATTTCCTATGCAAAGCACTGAACCCAGAAGCCATTAAGGAAAAGCTAACAGCTTTGACACCATAAATATTAAAAAGGCTTATCCTTGAAAGACGCCATAACCAAAGTAAAAAATGCAAGAGACAAACAGATGATATACGTAAGAGGAACAATATTAAATCCACGTATTTTTATATTCCCTGTAAATCACACTTGTTTCTAGCTTCTTTTCTCCAGACTTGAGATGTGGAGCTTGTGGCACTAGAGGGAGAGGAGGGCAGAGAGGACAGAGTGAGTTTGAGTCTCCATCTTGAGTGCTTTAACCCCCGCAGCAAGACACAGGTCTCTCCTTCCTGCCTCGGAAGAGGAAGGAAGATGATTTTATCCAGAGGCTCATCCTCCTGGAAAGCAGTCACCAGCCTGGGCCATCACCTGCTAGACAGACAATCAAGAGCAAGTGGTGAAATAACAACCCCTCCCCCAAAGGGCAGCGGGGAGAGCCATGCAGGGGAAGGAGGAGTGACAGAGTCCCAGAGTTCCAGATCGAAAGGTGAAAGTTGCTGCGTAAGGCAGGAGGGGGCCTCCCTGGCTTGTTCTGCAGGGAATTCTGGAAACAGAAGCTACTCCAGGCACCTGCTCGCCTGTTGTCTTTTAGCCCGCATCTCTGTTCAGGGGGACTGAAGCAGGACAGAGTCCACCCAAAGGGCCGCTGGCCTCCAATGGTGCTGAGGACACTTCACACATAAGCAGTTCATATCAGCAAAAATGTGCCCCAACATCAGGTCCCATGGCTACAGAAATCTGGGGAGCTGTAGAACTGTCCAGAGACCTGTGCTCAAGAATCTGGCCCCCCTTCCTTGCCTTCACCTCGAGACCAGACAGTGCCTGAATCCTATACCCAAAAGCCACCTCAGGGAATTAGCATTGGTGTGAGCAGGCAGGGTAGCTGGAACAAAAAGGCATTAATATTGTGGCTTTAAAAAGAAGCTAGAAGAGGGAGTTTGGTCCAGAGGGTTAAGGCACAGGTTGGGACATCCGTGTCCCATAGCAGTGTGCTTGGTCAATACCCCCTCTAGCTCTTACCCTGGCTCCTGGCTTTAGTTGTACCCGGCTCCTGGCTTTGACTTCAGCCCAGCCCCAGCCATCGCAGGCATGTGGGGAGAGAACCAGGAGATAAAAGCTCTCTGCCTCAGAGAAACTTTTTTGAAAAAAATAACAATAATAAAAATAGAAGCTGCTATTCTGTCTCCTGGGAGTCCAGGTAGGCAAAGTGGTTGTCACAGCTTGATGGGCCCAAGGGACCAAAGCTGCCTCTGTCACCTGTTCTCAGCATGTGCCTGCCACTTTGATGAGCAAGAAGTCTGCTCCAGCTCTAGTATCATGTGCGCATCCCAGCCATTGGAAAGGGAAAAAGAGAAACAAATCAAGACTCCTCTGCTCCCTCGAGGATTCATGCTCACATCTGTTGCCTGGCTGTGCCTGACTCAAGGGGAGCCCCAAGAGTTGCCCAGCCACCTCTCAGCAACCGGACGTACTCAGTGTTATCTGCAAGACAGACAGGCCTGCAGGGTGAGACGTTCTGGCCCTCTGCTCCAAGTCGGGACTCGTCCCTCCTGCAAGTTCCACAGTGACTCCCTGCCTGGTGTCCCATGAAAGAAAGGAGAAGACAACTGCCCCCACTTCCTATCACACTCATCCCAGAATACACTTGGCTAACTAATAAAAACAACAACTAAATAAAAATTTCCATTCAGGAAAGAGGAGAGTGGGAGACACCAGTTCGCAGCAAGCATGAACTCCTCCCAATCAGGAGTTACAAATACTTCCTTCTCCGGTCCTGGAATGGCCACTGGCATTGCGTTCGGAGAATAGCAACTTCCTGGTCCCCTGGACTAGGTGAGGAGCAGTGAATACATCCTTTGAGGGACTGCCAAGATTTCACAGCCATTTCTTCTGCTGCTGTCTGGGGGGCCTGGGGGTTACTTTGGGGATTAACAACAATTCCAGTCGATATGTGTGGCTTCTTTGGCAATACAATTCCCTTTAAGAAGCAGCAGAGTTCTAGTCCATTGTTTTCCACCAGTAGCTGATGCAAGGAGCCAGGGTCACCACTCTCCGGGCATGACCCTGTTCTTTAATTGATCGCCACTGACTGTTCTCCTTTAGTTCCGGAAGGCAGCTAGATTACTGGATGGTTTCCTTCTCCTGCAGGCTTGGCCTGAAAACTTGGTCCCTAGTCCCCGGGTACTGTCTTTCTGCCTGACTGTGAATTGGCTGCAACTCCTCCTCATGATGCTGGACAACTTCTGACATTTGCACACAGCTCTGCCCACAGTGGCCTTCTTCTGTGTCTCATGACGTGTGGCACACACCTGCCCAGACAAGATCATGGCATACTTCTTACACACTTCTCCTCATGCAGCTTCTCTCCTCTGGACTTTGTCCAAGCACATGCCAACCAATCCAGCATGTTTGAACTCCACTTTTGGCATGTGTGGCTTAGCACAAATGCTATGCCTTGTGTTAGCTTTGTCCCCCAGGGCTGTGACCCAGAATTGCCCTCCAGAAGAAAGCCTAGGTCAACGTGAAATTCACATCCAGTGTTTCCTTTCCCTCAAAGATCATGGTCTGGCACTGTCTATTGTCCAATACCTGGGTGCAGTTGCCTCCTATGTTTTGTCTGGTTTTGTGCTGTTTACGGTGGTGCTGGTAGGAATCTTGGATCAGCAATCCACCAATGCTCTAAGCAAGCCTCCTTCCTTCCTCGGTTAGAGAACTGTGTAGATCCACAGCTGTACGAGGCATGGGGAGTTGAGTGTAAGCAGAAGCAAGGGCGAGCCTCTACTTTGCTGCACTTTCTTTCCTGCTGGTTGGGATGCTGTGACTGCTAACCATCTAGGAAAATCTGTTCTCCTTAATGAACATGTTTGAAGCAGAAACAGGGGAGACTGGAGGAAAACAGCATGTGGTGCTCTGCCAATCCAAAGCCAGGAGCCAGGAACTTCTTCCAGGTCTTCCAGGTCTCCCACGTGGGTGCAGGGTCCCAAAGCCTTGGGCTGTCCTCGACTGCCTTGCCAGGCCACAAGCAGGGAGCTGGATGGGAAGTGGAGCAGCCGGGATTAGAACCAGCACCCATATGGGATCCTGGCGCTTTTAAGACGGGCACTTTAGCTGCTAGGCCACTGCGCTGGGCCCCAATGAATATTTTTTTAAAAAAGAAATCTTAGGGCCCGGCGCGGTGGCGCAGTGGTTAATGTCCTCGCCTTGCACGCCCGGGATCCCATATGGGCGCCGGTTCTATCCCGGAAGCCCCGCTTCCCTTCCAGCTCCCTGCTTGTGGCCTGGGAAAGCAGTTGAGGATGGCCCAAAGCTTTGGGACCCTGCACCCGCGTGGGAGACCCGGAAGAGGCTCCTGGCTTCGGACCGGCATAGCATAGGCTGTTGCGCTCACTTGGGGAGTGAATCATCGGACGAGAGATCTTCCTCTCTGTCTCTCCTCTCTGTATATCTGCCTTTCCAATAAACAAAATAATAAAAATAAATCTTTTTTTTTTTTTTAAAAATCTTAGATGTGGCCAAATAAAGGGCACGTTATGGGTGAGTGACAGCTCATGCAAAATCAGGGAATTCAGAAAACAGAGGAACTGCTTGTTGAGTTGCTGGAAGACAAAACTGATCATCCATAACTGTGGTCTAAGAAAATCCCCTCCACAAAAATGGGAGCAAAAGAAAGCCAGCTACAAGGAACTGAGGACGGGGAGCACTCACAGCATCCATGGGGAATGCCACTGCAGCACAGCGCTAGTTCACGGGACCTGAGACAGGGAATCAGCTCAGGTATCCATCACCGGACGGGTGGGGAAAGGAATGTAGGGTAGACACAGAACCGAGTTCCATTCAGCCAGAAAGAAGGAGGGAGTGCTGTCATCCACAGGAGCCTGGAGGGGCCTGGAGGGGCCTGGAGGGGCCTGGAGGATGTTAAAAGAAATAAGCCAGGCACAGCAATACAAACCATACTTTGAATAACAAAAGAAAGGACTCAAGATATATTGGAGAAAGAGACAGACACACCATCAGCTGGTTCAGTTCTCAAATACCCAGGAGATGGGAACTCAGTCTGGCTTTGCCACATGGGTGTCAGGGACCTGCTCCCTCTGCTGGTGCACAATAACGGATGAACCAGGAATCAAATCCAGGCAGTCATTCCCACAGGAGATGCAAACATTCCAATTGGCAGCAGCCACTGTACCAAATGCCCAGCCCCAAAGACAGGATTTTCCCCCTTTTTCCCCCCACATCAGACAGGTAATGTGCCAATGTTGTAACAAGGTTGGAGGGAGGCACATATTACATAGCCACGTGTAAACCCAATCATCATGCATATGAACCACAGAAGGACCAAAAGAGAGAGGATTTTGAATGATTTTATCACAAGGAAACAATACATGTTTGAAGTGATGCTTATGCTAATTACCTTGATCCAATCATTGTAGGTTGCAATGTGTCAAAATAACATATTGTACCCATGAATATTTATAATTATTATATGTCAATTAAAAATAATAGTCACCAAAAAAAGATACTACAGTACATGAAAGGCTGAACTAGACAGATCATCAGACCTACAGGAATACTGGAAGTGATAAACATGTGGGTGGCTATTAAAAAAACCAGCTTTTTGTCCTGCCAATTTTGGAGAGACATCTATGTTTTTAAAAGCAAATCAACATCATATTGTTGGGGATTGTTAAATATGTAAAAGTGAAATATATGACGAAACAGCACAAAGGATGTGGAGCTAAATTAAAATTTACAAGATGGGGATTGTCAACAGTGCTTAATGCACTAATTAGAAGACCTGAGCTTGGTCTCAGCTCTGCTTCTAATCCAGCTTCCAGCTAATGTGTATCCTGAGAGTCAGCAGGTGACGGTTCAACGACGTGGGTCCCTGCCACCCACACGGACACCTGCGTTGACTCCTGGGATCCTGGTTTTGGACAGGGTCAGCACTGCAATTGCGGATATTTGGAGAATGGACCAATAAATGGAAAATCTCTGTCTCCCTGTCTTTGAAATAAAATAAATAAGTAAATAAATTTTAAAGTAAAGTTGTATTAGTGCCAGGTTCTTACATTTTACATGAACTGTACAACTTGAATAGACTGTGTTGGCTTATAGATGTATGTTACAGTCCCTACAGCAACTAAACATCCTACCACAAAGAATAGGAATAGAGAGAGAAAGAGTAATAGAGGCACAAAAATCAGATAGATTGAAAACACACAGAAAGAGGACATATTGAAACCTGACTGTACAAATTATTATATTGAATGCACAAGACCTGGTGTTTTTATTTAAAGGTGAAGAGTGCAGGCTTAACTACAAAATCAAAAATTTCTGCCTGTATGAACTTTTAAAAACATATACACAGGTTGAATATAAAAGGAGGAGGAATACATATCACGTACATATTAAAAGTGAAAGAGAAAAGTAGAAGAGAGGTTGGAGAGATGCAGTATGAGAAGGAGTCCACCTGCTGCTGTTGGCTTTGGAGAGAGAGGAGGGGCCGTTGGTTAAGCACCTCACACAGACCTTGGCAACTGGAAAAGGTAAGGGAACAGATCGGTCCCTAGAGTCTGTGGCAAACACACAGCCCGGTGAGTGGTGCTTGGCACTGGACTCCGACCTCCTGAGCTGACTGCTGTTGTAAGGCAGTGGCGATTTGCTTCAATAGCAATGGAAAACGAGTCAACATGGTAATCCCTCTTTTAGATATTTGCCCAAGAGAAACCAAAACAAAGCCTGTGAGAAATCTTGACTGCATGTGAAAGCTCCTAACAATCTTATTCACAAGGGCAAAAAACTGCAAATAATCCAAATGTTCGTTAACAGGAGAATGGATATATAATTATGACCTATTCATCCAGTTGGATTTTGCTTACCGACGAGAGTTAACTACTATTATACGAAGCAACAAGCAAAATCTCAAATATATTGAGTAAAACAAACGAAACACCAGATCCTTAGAGCCAGTGCTAGCGCAGTGCATTAAACTGATGCCTATAGCACCAGCATCCCTTGGGGCTCAAGTTCACGTCCTGGATGTTCCACTTCTGATCCAGCTCCCTGCCAATGGCCTAGGAAAGCAGTGAAAGATGGCACCAGTGCTTGGACCCTTGCCACCCAGGAGCTGCTGGCTCCTAGCTTCTGCTTGGCCTAACTCTGGCACTGTGGCTGTTGAGGAGCAACCCAGCAGATGGAAGAACTCCCCTAGCTTCCCCTTATCTCTGTAATTCTGCCTTTCAAATAAATAAATAACTTTAAAAAATACAACAGATTGGGCTCCATTACCTGATGTATTGTAGCCTTCATATGACCTTCAAGACAGGACAAACCTATCTTTGATAACAGCTGGAACAATGGTGCCTTGTGTGGACTGCACACAGGGCAGATTTCCCGGGTGATGGAAACCAGTCACGTGTTGATTGCATATACGTCAATCGCTGATGACTGACGCTCTTTGCATGTCACCCTGACTGTGTGTTCCTCAATTTCAAATGGGCTGGGGGAGGGGAGGAGGCTATTGAGGGGGCAGCTGAGTCTCTGGTGTTATCATTTACCTCGCCTTTATTTTTTTCCCCCACTAGTTTAAACTAGCTTAAAATTTAAACTCCTTTGTGTCAAAGCTCACGTTGGTCACTATAGTTGATGAGTCTCCAGGTCCTGCCTTCTGAACACACGCACATACACACAATGCTTCTCCCACAAAATCCTCAACAGCTGTTTGTAAGTCACAGCCATCCCCCAGGTTTTGGTTTCAATGTGTGATGTGACCTTCTCCAGCTCCTCCAGGCCTTCCCCAGTCACCACCTTTGTGCATGTGCAGGAGCCAGCAAAAGGGGGAAATTCAGCCACGATGTATGGGAACAGAAAGGGTACACACACATCTCTTGTCCTGTTGCCTGACACCTGCCATGGCCCTCGGCTGGGAGGGGTTTCACTTGCAGCTCTGAGAGAGCCAACCGGTAGGTTCTGATGACTTTAGTGGCCTCTGCCGCTCTGTGCTACCCCGTGGAAGCTCACACATGGTAAATACTTAACCACTCCCAGTAACGTTTTTGATAACTGTACAGTCACACGTCAGCAGCTCTTTAAGGTGCCAGTAAGCTGAGTCCCACTTTACAAGTGAGCAAACTGAGGTGCTGAGAAGTGAAGTGTGTGAGCTGGCCAAGGCTGGCTCCTGACCTCTGCAGCCCAAGTTCAGGGCCAGGGGCTGTAAACACTGAGCTGCAGCTGTTCAAAGATGGTATCATATTTGAAACGTCTGGAGGGGTCCAGTTGTACTTAATCATGGCCATAGAGGTGGGGGGAGAGGTTGTCCAATGACACACTCCCAAGCAAGTCCCCACTCTAGGTCGAGGTGCTGCTGTGGAACCCCTACCTAGGCCTGCTGACCCCAGGCTGCAAAAAGTCAATCACTGATGTGTGTTTATTACCAACCACAGAGCAAGGAGTCAGACAGCTACTGCTTAATGCCGAGGCTCACCAAAGAGTCTGGGTGAAGGTTCTTACGGACTGAAATTGGGGCTGAGATCTCACATCCAAATTCCTGGTTTGCGGTGGCACTTATGAGCTTCCTTTGATGGGTCAGTGTTTCTTAGGGAATCTATGGTGGCCAGCTGGGTTTCCACACGTCTGGGAGGGTGTGTGGGAGTGCTGGTCATCTTCTGCACCAAAGCCCTCCGACAGGGCCCAGCATGGTAGCCCAGTAGCTAAAATCCTTGCCTTGCATGTGCCAGGATCCTATACGGGCTCCAGTTCTAATCCAAGCAGGCCTGCTTCCCATCCAGCTCCCTGCTGTGGCCTGGGAAAGCAGTCAAGGATGGCCCAAAGCCTTGGGACCCTGAACCTGCATGGGAGACCCAGAGGAAGCTCCAGGCTCCTGGCTTCGGATCAGCACAGCTCCGGCTGTTGTGGCCACTTGGGGAGTGAACCACTGGACGGAGGACCTTCCTCTCTGTCTCTGCTCCTTTCTGTATATCTGACTTTGCAATAAAAAAAAAAAAAATCTTAAAAAAAAAGAAACCTTTGGACAACACACATCAATGAGAGTAGTAGTTAGGTATCGGGGAAGCTAGTGACTTTCTGAGTCCCGTGATTAGAACTTTGTTTAATCAGCCATATCACACTCCATGTGGTCAATGAATTCCTTCTTTGAGAAAGGGCAGGCAAGGACATTTTGGACTAAGAGAGGCAGACGAGAGGCTGTGTCCAGCCCTTGTCTTCCAGAGTCTGTGTCAATGGCAACTCTGCAAATAATGTATGGCTGAACATCATAAAGTGTTTCCCCCCTTACCACGGTTGATGCCTGAGGATGAATGCTTTTGATTTCAAAGATGGCTACATGAATGTTTCCTCCTTGGGCTAAATACTGCCTACAAAGGACCCCAATATTGACAAGGAATTTGTCACTGGATGGAGAATGCTTTGATTTAATTTTCCTTACTTGTGAGTTGTTCTCTGCAAAATATGATGTTTGTTGTTGATTCTTGAGCCCAAAGATACTTGAGTAGACAGACACGAGTTCCTCGTCTTATGCAACGCAGACCCAGAATCTGTCCACTGGAAAAGGATCTCATTGCTGATCTGGTCCAATTCCTGAGCTGATGGAAAAAGATGGTTCTAAAAACAGTCGGACCAAAATAGACATTTTATAAATCGAATCGCATTTTTTCAACTTACAAGGCGAGCTTGCTCTCAAACAGAGGCTGTGATAAATGTTTTAGGATGTGAAAATGTAGCTTGCCAGCAATTAGCAGCCATTAAAGGCAAGACCCAGAACGCACCCAGACTGCAAGCTGACAAATTAGACCTGAGCTTCGGGAGGGGTTTGGCTGCCACAAAACCACACTGCACGTTTCCCGGGTGCACAGCACAGCACATGTCCTATCATTTGATCCTTGCAGCAAATTTGGGCGATATGGACCGAGTGAGGTTCAGAAAGGAGGGAGGCATTGCTATTCAATGCAAAAAACCACTCCATGCCGAAACTCGCTGACTTCGATGCTTTGACAGAGATGAGGGTAGAGTGGAGGATCTCAAAATATCCTAAAAGTTCTTAGTTTCTCAGGACCAGAAACAAAGGGAATCTGATAGAAAGCAAGCTGGTGAGGAATCTAGCTTTTCTTGATTGATTGATTGATGGCCTTTTGGGAAGAGTAGTCCCTGGGAAGTGGGTTGGAAAGCTCCTGGTCTCTGTCTCTTGCTCCTCCTCTATTTCAAAGCCCTCGCAGCAGGGGTCCTGCAACCTCCCAACGCCCTCTCCTTACTTCCTTCTCTCCGCCCACACTTTTCTCATGTACAGCCTCTTCCCAGTATTCCTGCCCACCTCGGTCCTTC